AGGAAGCCCCCCTGACCTCCTGTGTGACCCTTCCACCCTCTGGCTGCATGCACTCTGACCCTTGCATGACTCAGGGTCTGGAACACAAGGGGCTTCTGTGACCCCAGGATCGTCCTCTGGAATCTAAGACCCCTTTGGACCCTCCAACGGCCAGACTGAAGCAGGCCCCCAGACTTCTTGGGCACGAACACACATAAAACAGGAACTTGCCCACAAAGCAAGGGGCCCATCTTCACCTGCCAATGGGCGATGCGGGCGGAGGGCAAGCCAAGCCTCCCCTGAGGAGATGAGCTCGTTCTAGGCAGAGATAGCCCACTCACCTCACACGTTTTCATTCATGATCCATTTTTTGTGCCATTAATCGTACTCATAATTAATAATAGCTTTAGCTCCCCTTTTCAAGGAGAGGCGGCTCTGGGCCGCCGACACCCTTACCTCCTCTAGGAAAGAGCAGAAGTTCTGGAGGAAATATTTCCAGTTGATGTGGGGCCGGAGGTGGAGTCTGACTTTCCTCAGAAAGTAGTGGTACTGGCTGTCGGAGAGATTGCAGCTGATGCCCTTGAGGACCTGCCCAAACTCCGCAGCCGTGACGAAGCCCGTGTCCCCTTGGTCCAGTTCGGAAAAGGCCTGCGGAGAAGCAGAAGGGAAAGGCAGGCAGGTGTCACCGCCGGGTGAGGATTTCCAGAGGGGTTGCCCCTGAGCACCGTGTCTACTGCATGTGACCCCCATCCAAGGCCCGGGGTTCATCTGTGAGCCCTCAGGAGGATGCACCCTCCTCCGTTCTGGAAGGACTAGCTCCTTCCAGCCGCCCTCCTGGCTAGGCCGGCACAGTGGACAGTGGACAGTGGGTTTGGGAAGTAGCAGGCAGGCCTTTCTCCGCAGAGAGCCCACATCTGAGTGAGCAACTGAGCGCGTGCTAATGGTTGACACCCACCCCATTCCCCCTGCCGGACTCCACTGAGGGCCTGGGAAACAGGCTTATAGCTTCCATGCTGCCAAGAAAAGCCACCACGACCTCTCCTACTTGAGCCCAGGAAGGACAAGGGTGTGTTGGATTCTGGCCCTGCCGTTGGATGGAAGCCTCACAGCCCCCCTGCCCTCCATCCACCACCCCCTTTTACAGAGGAGAAGGGAGACCCCACGGGTTAAGTGACACTTGCCCACACTCTCTGGACCCTGGAACTCCTGTCCCTTTCATCCCAGATCACTCAGGACCGGAGGCAGCTGGCTGGAGGCCAACCCTCCCTCCCCCCACCAAGCGGGAACACCAATCCAAGGGCAACAGCCTGGCGTCCAGTGGGTCTGGGCAGACAGGTCACGGGCAGACCCATCCCGTCTCTCCTGAGACAATAACATGGGGCTGGACCAGGCTGGGCCTTCTGGACCCTGGACCAGAGCCCATGTGGCTTCGAATTAGAGGCGGGGAGTTGGGTGGGGGTGGGGGTGGTGCGCAGTCAAACTGGAAAAGTGCAAAATGAGCTATCAAAATAAAGCACCCCCCTGTCCCGCTCTGTCGAAATCAAATCACTCGTCTTCATTGTGTGGGGAGAGCTGTGTCCAAGATGAAAGGTCTCTTTTCCTCGCTTTCCCAGCGTGAGTTAGCTTTTCGTTTACCGCATCATTGGCCCTGGCCTTTTCCCTAAGGGAAGCTGGTGCTGTACTTGCCAGCCCCAAACCAAGTGCCCTTGTCCTGCATGGCCGATCAGGCAGGGCCTGCCCATGGGCCCCGGGCCCCAGGGTGGCTTCAGTTTCCTGGCCATTAAAAAAAGTGGGCTTCGTGACACACGAGGTTCTTGCAAGGTTTCCAACGTCAACCTGAAAGGCACCTTCTTGGCCCCGTAGAGAGGACGGACAGACAGACAGATGTGAACGAGAGGGGCTGTGTAAGTGACAGGGTCATGTGTAGGCAGAGCGGCACATGACGCCGAGCAGCCCTCAGAGGGGTCTGGAGTCATATGCAGTCTCCAGCCAGCAGTCTACCGCTATTAGGGCCTCGGCTTGACAATCTAGGGCCGTGGGTCCAGTGTCTCAGGACACAGATCCTGCATTTGTCCAGGGCCAGTGGTGATGTACAGCCAGCCTGTCCCTCTACAGGGCCAGCAAGAGAGTCACCTGTGAACGGTGTTCGCTGTTCTCAAAAGTTGCTGCTCAAGTACCCTTTGGCAGCTGTTTGGGAAACATCCTGGCCAGCAGCTGCAAAGTGGTCCCACGTCAGGCGGTTGATGTCAAGTCAGCTCTGATGGAGAGTGGTTGCGTGTCAGAACCCAAAAACTGCCTGGTCCCGTCCCATCTTCTTAATTGCTGTCTTTGAACCTGTTGCTTTGGCCTCTGGGTCGATCCACCTTGTTTAGGGTCTTCCTTTTTTCTCTCTCTCCACAGAATCTTTACTTGACCAAGCATAATGCCTTTCTCCAGGGACTGGTCCCCTCTGACCACATGCCCAAAGTGTCGCCATCCTTGCCTCGAAGGAGCTCTCTGGCTGTTCTTCCAGGGCAGATGCGTTTGTTCTTGTGGCTGTCCCTGGTGCTTTCGAAGTTCTCTCACAACACCAGGACTCAAATGCACCGGTTCATCCTCAATCCTCCTTAGGCACTGCCCAGCTTGCCCGTGTATATGAGGTGATTGCAATACCATGGCTTGGACCAGGGGCACCTCGGTGGCTAATCTGCCCTGTAATGGTTTAAAAAGGGCTCGTGAGCAGCAGATTTACCTAATGCAATGGGTCATATAATGTATTGACTTCTGCTTCCAGGAGCACTGATTGTGGATCCAAGCAACATGAGATCTTGGACAACTTCAATCTCGTCTCCCTTTGTTGGGACGCTGCTAATCGATCCAGTGGTGAGGACTGGGGTTTTCTTGACATTGAGTTGGGATCCACGCCGCAGGCTGCAATCTTGGATCATCACCAATAAGTGCTTCGAGTCCTCCCCACTTTCACTGTTGTAGATTGTGTGTGTGTGTGTGTGTGTGTGGGGGGGTGTCTCTCTTTCAACCTTGACGCCATGTTTTTTATGTCGTCCAGCTCCTCAGATCATTGCTCTGCGTAGGGACTGAGTTAAGTAAGTACTGGAGAGAGAATACAGCCCCGTGGCCCACCTTTTCTGATTCTAAACCCCCCAGTATTTCCTTGTTCTGTTCGTACGACTGCCTCTTATTTTATGTGAGTGTTCTACATGTGCACCAGTGTTCTGGGATTCCCATTCTGTGCAACATCGTCACCAACTGTGACAACGCCCACTGTTGAATGCCTTTGCACAGTCAAAAACTTAAATGTATTTCTGATATTATCTGCTTTCACCCAAGATCCACTTGATGTTGGCAATGCTATCTCTCATCCCACGTCCTCTTTTGACTCTGGCTTGAGTTTCTGGCAAACCAATAAACACAAAAACAAAAAGACCCAAAGAGCCTCACTGCCAAACCAATGTCAACTCATGGTGACCTGATGGCCCCTGGGAGTTTCCCAAACTGTAACTCTTATCTGGAGTAGACCGAAGCCCTGTCCTTCTCCTGAGGAGCTGCGATGGATTTGAACTGCTGACTTTGCAGACTGATGTGTCTTTGCTTGCTGCTGCAAACGTTGTTTGACTCATCGTCAGCAAAGTTTCACTTGCTCTGGTGGCAGTGACATTGATTCATGGGTTTCCTGTCTCCGTTGGATCACTCTCTGTGGAATGGGCACAAGCATGGCTCTCTTCCAGTTGGCTGGCCGATAACGATGTTCCGTTTTCTTGGCCCAGACAAGTGAGCACTTCTAGGATTGCACCCATTCGGGAACACATTTCCATTGGCATTCCACCACTTCCCGAGGCCTTGTTTCCCCCGAATGCTTCCAATACAGCTTCGACTTCTTCCTTCAGTATCATCAGTCCTTGATCAAATGTCACCTCTGGAAATGGTTGAATGTCGACCAGTTCTTTTCGGCACAATGACTGTGTGTTCCTTCCACCTGCTTTCCATGCTCCCAACCTAGAGAACCCTTCAATATTGCAACTGAAGTCGTGAATGTTTTGTTCGGTTCATTCCGCTTGAGGAATGCCAAGGTTCTAAACACTGCTGTTGAGTCGGGGGTTAGAAGGGAGCAAAGCCATCCTGCAATGCATCTGTTGGGCCCTCATAGTGGTTCTGAAAAACAAAAACCAAAACCAAAAAACTAACCCCACACAATGGGATGGCTTTTCAAGACCAGGAGATTCCCATGGGGAGAGGGAGATGGGGAGCTGGGTCAAAAAGAATGAAAAGACACACATGGGTTCACATTCCATCTGGGTCAGACTCTGCTGGGGTGGAGGGGATGTTACCCTTGTGACCGGCCTCTGTCCACTGTTTGCCATGCCTCCTGGCATGCCAGTTTGCAGCCATCCCTCCTTGGTGGCTCCTGTGGCCAGTGCCATCGGGAGCACAAGTGAGGGACTCAAATGTGAGGCTTTCCTTCAGTTAGTCACCGAGTGCGGGCATCGGCAGTTCCGCCAAATGTTACCCGCCACACTGCTTCCTGGCCGCCCTACCTTGGACATGGCCTCCTGGGACGAGTCCACCATCTCCTGGACCTTCTTCAGCACCTCCTCCAGGGGGAGGGCTGCAAAGTTGACCGGCTTGCTCTCCTCTTTCTCGCCCGGCTGGGGTCTGGCAGCCTTGCTGGGGTCCACAGCTTTCAGGAAGTCAAGGTAATTGACGGAATCATTCTGACAGCTGACTCCCCAACTTAGGCAAAGCCCCAAAGAAAGGACAGAACATCAGTAAAAGACAAACACCTATCACTAGTCCTCCCACGCAGCGGCCGAGCCCAGAGGGTGGGGAGTATGAACTCGTTCAGGCCAGGATGCCTCATCCTGCGGTGGCTGCGCACAAGACCAGCTGCGTTAGTGTTGGAGAGGCGCACACCAGGCCTGTGTGAGGGGAGGGAGGGAGGGATGCTACTGCCCTGGAGGTGGGTGCAGGCTGGCCACGACGGGGTTTGTGGCTCTGGACTGGACCATGACTGGACCCAGGGCAGGTGGTCCAGCAGGGCAATGGCCTTGCAGAGCAGCAGGTGGTGAGCGAGACTGGCAGTGGCAGCCAAGATGGGCTGGAGGTGAGTCTGGGGGCCAGTGTTGGGCTGGTAGGCAGGAGCCTGGATAGAAGCCCCGGTGGTCGCCCGTGCTTGAGAAATGACCGTGGGGCTGGGCAGGAAGAAGAATATGTGAAAAACGGCACCGAGGGTGAGAAGAACGGAGTGGAATACACCTTCCTTCAATTCTTTTCAAAGAATGGTTGGAACTAAGCCACCACCCAGGAGGAAGAGACTTTTACAAGACCTATCAAGCTACGAGGAGCCCCGGTGGCATAGTGGTTATATGTTGGGCTGCTAACCACAGGGTCAGCAGTTCGAAACCACCAGCCACTCTGAAGGAGAAAGATGAGGCTTTCTACTCCCGTGAAGAGTGATAGTCTACCCTGCCCTACAGGGGCTCTAAGAGACGGCATCGCCTTGATGGCAGTGAGCGAGCGATATAGCCATGTGTTGGTGTCAGGTAAGCATTGGGTGGCCAACCACAAGATAGATGGTTCCAATCTACCAGCCACTCTGAGGGAGAAAGATGAGGCTAACTGTCCCTTTAAAGACTGACAGCCTCAGACACCCTCTGGAGGTCCCATGAATCAGCATGGACTGGTGGCACTGGGACAGTCAGGCCAGTCATACGTGGAGGCCCTGGTGGTCCAATCACTTGAAGGGCTAGGGTACTGGACAAAAGGTTGATGGTTCAGCCAGGGCTTGGAACCAGTTCATCCTGGTTTGACCCCTCTGTTGAGAATTCTCATGTCCACTCTAAGCCCACACCTACACCAAAAAAACACACACAAAATACCAGACCCACTGCCGTCAATTCTCACAGCAATCCCCTGTGGGATTCCAGGGCTGTAATGGTTGATGGGAGTAGCGAGCTTGGTCTTTCTCCCACAGAGTCACTGGTGGTTTTGAACTGCTGAGCATGTGGATCGCAGCCCCATGGATAACCACTATACCACCCGGGCTCGACTCAAAACCCAAACTCACCCCCTTCCAGTCTGTTCTGATCTTAAAACTTCATAGGACTTCTGAAACTGTACTTTTTTTTTTAACGTGGACAAAGAGCCTTATTTTTCTCTCCTGGGGTGGCTGGTGGGCTTGAACTGACCACGTTGCAGTGACTAGCCCAGTGGTTCCAGAGCCCCTCCTTCCCACCGCAGACACTGAATCAGCATCTGCGATGTGATGAGATTCCCCGGGGGATCCTCACGGATGCCCAAGTGATCTGTCCTCATCAGAGTCACCTGGGGAGCTTGTGAAAACGTCCACCCTGAGTCTGTCTGTCCATCCGGGGTGAAAACGCACATTCTCAGTCAGGAGGCTGGACCACAATGAACCTGTGAGGAGTCCGGGCCCCACCTTGGCCCCTGGAGGCACGAGGGCAGGCAGGTGTGACCATCTGCTTCGAAAAGGTCACAGCCTGGAAAACCCAGCGAGGGGGGGGGCATCTCCACCGGCTCATGTGGGGGTGCCAGGAGTGGGCATCGCGTCCAGGCCAACCACCACCAACGAACAAGGCAGCTAGCTCCCTGCGCATCGGGCCATTTCCCCCACACAGACGTGCCACTCAAAGAGAACGGGTCATCCGGGGCCCGGGCCTCGGCGAGATGCCTTCACTGTCTAACCGGCTGTGAGCTGAGGCAGCAGGTCCAGGCTTCCCTGAGACGCAGCGCCAGCCTACTTACCCAAAGTGCCAAAGAGTCAGGATATAAGTGTTTCTGCACCCGGACTTCGTATTTCTGAAATCTTAACACCTAAGCTTCCCAGCGGCCAGATTGAGGGAAAGTGTCAAAGAGAACAGCTTGAGAAATTGGTGAGCTGGATGGAGAAGTTTCCAGGGACTCAGAGATCTACTCCGAGAGATAAAGGAGCCAAGAAGCGTGTTTTTCCAACCCACAGCTGCAGAGCAGCCTTGCGCAGCGCCCGCGCCGAGCTGGCTCACACGCTGGAGACACGGAGGGAAAGGATAATCAACGCTCCTTCATCAGCAGGAGAAATTGCCAACTCCGTATTAAAATTTAGTAATGAAATCAAATGCATATGCTAATCTCCCCAGTATTATTGAGAAAAAGTCTATTTTGGATCTGAAGGGGGTGGGGTGGGGGAGAAAAGCGCCATCTCCATGTAATTACAAACGACAGCGATGTGCATCATCAAGGGCCCTTTGAGAAGGAACAAGCACCGAGCGAGGGACCCTTATGAAGGCTTCAATCTGCAAGCAAGTTGATCGCCCCCCATTGAGAGGTGGACCACAGATTTTCCAGGGGCCTTTTGTTGCTTGGGCAAGTATCAAGTCTAACTATGTTTCCACAAGATTCTCTAATAAGCAGTCAGTTAATTATTTATCGGGTGCTATTTCCCCATGATTTATTCATTGGATGCACGTGGATTCTGGATCGGCTGGAAATAAATGGAGTGGGAAGAAGACCCCGTGCAAGGAAAAGAGAACAGATAGGCACTTGCGGAGGAAATGGTTTTCTCTTTCAACACACACACACACACACACACACACACACACACGGGCATTGGGCTTTTTGCAGCTCAGATACAATGGAGAAATGTCTTCAACATTTTAAGGGAAGACGGTTTTCTCCGTAAAATTCCAAGCTGGGTCCAACCAGCAATTGGAATGAGGGAGAATTAAAATATATATATATATTAAAAAACTAACTTCCTATCTACCCTTTTTTTTGGAAAGTTACTTCAGGAAGTATTCCAGAAAAAAAAAAGTAACAAGTCACGTGGTGAATTGTAGAGGGGCTCACAATGCACATGGGTGGCAGATCTCGTGTGGGGGCTGGGTCTGAGGGCAGAGGCAGCCAGGAGAAAGCCATCCCCAGGGCAGGGAGTGGGAAGGGATATTGGGGGAACCTGAAGGTTGACTACACTGAGCTTTACTGGAGCCGCGCTCCCGAAAAACAACAATGGTTGGCGACCTCCCCCCACCTACTGTGTTCCTGGAAAGCATTTACTGCCAAGAACCAACCTTCCCCCTATGAGCTGGATAAGGCTCACGGAGGACCCTCGGTTTCCCTACCCCAAAGCCTGGCACAGACACTGCAAAGGCACGTTCTTGGCCTCATCAATGATTAGCTCACCTGTTGGCATCACTGACCTGAACAGAAGAATTGCTAACGTCACTGGAACAAACTTTAGTCCCATTTCCTGTCCCGTGCCCACCCCAGCCCGAGTCCCCCAGATCTGCCCGAGTAAGCACAGCAATGTATACAGCAGAACCCTCCTTAGTGACCCCACAAGAATCAGCAGGGGACACTTCCTGCTCCAACTTCTGATGATCCCCGCCGCCCTCATACTAGTCCCGGTCCCCCTTGATCCCTTCCCAAAGGGTTTACCCTTCCCTACGAGAGAAAACCCCTTTCCTACCTTTCCTTTGAGCTGCTGACGGAGCTCACGGTTGGTGCATGCTCTGTATTCAGAGAGCCCATTTCCCCGACCACAAGAGCCTTTCAGAGAATGTCTCTCCTTAAGTAGCTATGAGGAGAGCCCGGGCGGCATTGTGGGTGCTCCTTGGAAGAAATACGGGGAGTTCTGATCTCATAAAGAGTTCGCATATCAGAAACCCAAAGGGCAGTGTTACCCTGTCCTAGGGGGTCACTGTGAGCTGGAACAGAGGGGCTCCATGGCAGGGACTTGTTGGTGGTGTTCTACACGCGAGTGTGGACTTGACAAGATAAAACAACACAGGCACAGCAGATAAGAAAGCGGGGGAAAGGCCATGAAACCCCAGGAAACAAACACAAACCTATCCAATTGGCGTCATAGCACAAATCCAAAGCAAACTTAAAAGGCGGTGTGGTTTTCAGCAGATGGAGATGTGCAGAAGAGGATCTATTTGACACGTGAAGGCGCGTGGCTCAGGAACAGCGCCACGGAGGAGAGAAGCTAATTTTCACCCATTATCTGAACACTGAACATAATAATGAGATGCTGTCTAATGGCTGTCAAATTCAGAAATCAATCCATGGGACGATATCACACAAGACAGCAAAGAAGAATGTTCTCGGGGTTGGCCCCTCCACCAAATCTACTCTGCGCCGGAAGAGACATCAGGAAGGAACTATTTCAGAACTTGAGGACCGGCCTGAACACTCTTGCCATGCGGGAGAGAGCCGGGGGAAGGGGAGGCTGCTGACCTCAGGTGAGACCGGCCAGCTGCCCTCATGCATCGCTCACTCAGTCCTGCTGGGGCAGTGACATCATCTCCTGTCAACCTGTGAAGGGGTGGAGTCTAGCCTGTCAATCAGGCCGCAATGTGATGACCTCATTTGGAGGTGTGAAGGAGATAAATAGCTCACTGGAGGCCAAACCCACACACACTCCCCTTGGGGGACATTCCTGCTGACAAGTCACATGGAGCTGGAGGAGCCACGTGGAGACCCAGGCCAGCTTTGAGATCCCTCCACCACCACTGGGTCCACAAGACTTTCCACCCGCTGGCCTGTGAGCTTCCTGCATTTGGCACTATTGCTCGTGCTGTGTGAGTTCCGAGGGGAATTTGTGGACTAGTATTGGACATACGGACTAATATTGGACTTATGGGCTTGATCTGGACTGGGCTGGGATGTTTTCTCAATATACAATTGCTCTTTTATATAAAGCTGTTTCTTACACACATGAGTGTCTATGAATTTGTTTCTCTAGTCAACCCGGACTAACACATTATGGTACCTTGGGAGTGGGGTACTAGAGAAACAAATGATAAAGATGGAGAGTGGATGTTTGTTTGACCTCTGCCTTGTGGTAGGTTTTCTTCTTTGGCAAGCCAGAGGTCAGATATGGCCATGTAGTTTTCTGGAAAGAATATGGGAAGTTAAAGTTTTGGTTATTTTGTTGGGTTGTTGTTTTGGGTTATTCCTCTTTAAAATGGTGAAAATGAATGTGATTAATGTCTATTTTGAGCTCAGGGGATGAAGTTGCCTCTTGAACTCAGAGACCATGTTGCTTAGTGAAAATGGCTGACAGAAGGCCTGGTCCTGGCTTGATTCAGTCAGAGGCCGATAGCCGTACTTTGTATCAATGGAATCGCTTAGATAAGGATTAAGACAAGCTAAATAAGGATTGAACTTGACTGTTTTAAGAATTGAGTTTAGT